TAATTTTTCTTTGTATTGCTGTTACTTCCCACTTTGCCTGCCACATTCTGGGCGGGGAATATTTGTTGAAAGAATGAAGAGAAAAAAGGACAAATTTATACCCGGGAGCCTTCTTTTTCTCTGTGGGCTCTGAAATTTCCCCACTAGGAGGCAGCACATGACTTTAGTAACAAATTTAAGGGAAAAAGTCCTGCTTAAATACCATTCAAAATATGGCAGTTCCAGATATTTCAAGGTAACAAACAGAAGAGATGATATTCTGATCTTCTTAATCTACTAAAGTAATGGCTCTAAGGCTTTCTGCACATTCAAATATTATGTCTTACTGCAGTTTCAAAATATTTAAGTAATAATGGTAGTGAAAATATCTGGGAATGAATTCTCAGTGAAAATTACATGATATTTGTGGCTAGTGAGATTTAATCGAAATAATTGTTTCTATCTCTAACAGCCAAAACAATAAGACATGCCTTGCTTTTATTCTGTGTAATTCATGGAATGCTCAGCAAACAAATTTGTAAGATGTTTTCAGGAAACCTGAATTTCATGGAAGATTAAATTAATTACAACTCTAACTATTTGATTTTTTGTCCCTTTTTTGTGTAATTAGAACACTGGCTGTTGGGTTAGTTAACATGGGACGTTTCCAGTCAATCAAGTACAAGATAGAAGGGTTACTTTTGCTATTGTGGACCAATTTTATGCAGCTTATTTCTGCATCCAGATTAATTTTCAAGTCTGTCTTCATCAATTGTACATGTGATTCTAAGTATTAACTGAAATTTGCACTGGATTACAAATTGTTACTCTTCTTCTAGAGTAATGTTAGTTGATTTGTGCTATGCTTTCACCAGTTTATGTGAGACTTACCAGTAATCTACCTTTCTTTCTAAAACTTTACATCTCTTATATATATTTTGCCAATTGAAATGTCTTTCTCCATTAATGCCAAGAAGCTGATGATAAACACATAAACAGCAAGATCATTTTTCACATTTAAAAAATAAAATCAACTGCAGCATTCCCTTTGCAATGAGATCATGACTCTGAAGAGTTAGTATTATACACTAGGGAAAGTCTGGTCATAGACGGCTGAAATTCATCCACTTGGAATGTTGTGACATATACTCAATAAATTTATTGTGCTGTGTATGCAGAACTGATAATTAAGCTTTCTCTTCAAGCATCTCATGTTTTTAATCTTTGAAAATTACCAAGGGCTTGAGTAAAGCTGTTTATCAAAAGAAAATATGTATGTTCCTGGCCAAGTAGCTCAGTTGATTAGAGCATCATCCGGATACACCAAGGTTTGGGGTTCAATCTCCAGTTGGGGCTCATACAAGAATCAGCTAATGAATGCGCAAATAAGTGGAACAACAAAATTGATGTTTCTCTATCTTTCTTTTCTCTTTCTAAAAATTAATAAATAAAAAGAAAATATGTGTTTTTATAAGTCAATATCCTGAATTAATATTGGTAATTCCCAATTTTCAAATATAGGATCTCTTTTATTTATTTTTTTTAACGTTTTTTTAAACATTTAAAAAAAAATGTCTTTACTGATTTCAGAGAGAGGAAGGGAGAGGGAGAGAGAGAGATAGAAACATCAATGATGAGAGAGTCATTGACCAGCTGCCTCCCGCAGGCCCCCGACTGAGGATCGAGCCCGCAACCCGGGCGTGTGCCCTGACCGGGAATCAAACCTCAATCTCCAGGATCCTAGGTCGATGCTCAACTGCTGAGCCACGCCCAGCCAGGCAGGATCTCTTTTATTTCTAAAAATTCACTGAGTTCGTAACCTGGTTTAATGTCAATTGCCCAGATTTCAAGCATTTTTAATATTTTATCTTTTTTCAAGGAATAAATATCTTCCTTTTTCTGTTTTTTCTGTTCCCCTTATTCTTCTCTTTACTCTTCTCTCTCCTTTTTTTCAACCCACCTTTTTCGAGTGTGTACCTATCAGGTTTCAGTTTCAAAAGTTACCATAAACAGAGTTTTTAAAAAAGAATAATTTTTCTATAATTTTTCATGAAGTTGTAGTCTTGGATTATACAGGGTCGGCCACCCAAGGCACAGAAATTGGTAGCCTAACCAACTATTTTCCTTCTGTGCGATAAGCGATGCCAGGTTTCCAGCAAAATGTCTGAAACATCACACCCCAAAGCCCTGTCTCCTCCACAAAACTAACTCCAAGTTTTGTTTCTTTTACTTTCAGCATCCTACTTCCAAGAAACAAACTCTGTATCAGAATTTGAATCAGTTATAGCTACGGCTTTTTATAATAATATATTTTTTAAAAAACCACAAAAACTGTAGCTTAAACAAAATAGAAATATATTTTTCTCTTACATAAATAGTATGGAGGGAAGCAGTTCAGGGGCCTAGACATCTATTTTTCTGGTCCATAATCGATAAAATTATCTCAAGGCCCAGGATAGCTGCTGAGCTCTTCCCATCGTATCCATATTCCAGTCATCATGAAGGGCACAAACTTCCACTTACATTATAAGCCACAAGGCCCCCATAGCACCAAAGAAGTCCAAGAACTTGTCTTTAATTTAGAGAGAAACATTCCCACAAACTTAAGGCTCTGTTACCAAGGAAGAAAGAAAGAACAACATTGGAAAGCAAATGGCAGTCCCTGCCACGATGGTCACTACAATCTCCGTTACGATAGTGGAGTAATGGAAACAACCTAAATGTCCTGGAGAATAAACAGTTACATAAAATGTAGCATGTTCATATATTAAATATTCTCTTGNAACCTAAATGTCCTGGAGAATAAACAGTTACATAAAATGTAGCATGTTCATATGTTAAATATTCTCTTGGTATTTCAAATATTGATGTAGATAACTATTTATTTACATAGAAAGTTATTTACAATACATTTGAATGGAAAAACAACTCAGCATCTATAATGTGACCGTGTATGTAAAATCATGTCTGAAAAGATTTTTTTAATGTTAAAATGGTTAGATAACCACTGGGGTTAGTACTTTTTTGTGTAATTTTACTTTGCTCTTTATACTTTTCTACGTGTTTTGAACTTTTTAGAATGACCATACACATGATTACCATGGAAATAAAAAGACAATGAATGAAGTCATCTTCAGTAAATAAAAAAAGTCACTGCGAAACTTTCTATTTGCACATAGTCTTCAGCCAGTGGGGTTTTGGGGCTTCCCTATGGCACCAGTTTCATACTGAAAATATTGTAAACTGCCCTAAATATCAATTTTTAAGTAACGTGGCAATAGCAAACAATAGTGAGGACTGTTTGTAAAAATCCTTGTTTGCTTTCTTGCCTTAGACTCTAACTCTGGCAAATCTGGGTTTTGTACCAACTCTGCTTCTCTTTCTATGAGTTTTTAGTATGGTATTCAGTAGAAAAGAAATGGGGTTTTTGTTAATACCTTCTTACGTGTGACATCTTAATTGCAGTAGTTAACTTTCTCAGGTAGTCATTACCCCTGTTTTCATTCCGTCAGATACAATCAGACGTGAGACTTTGTCACTGAGGTGAATAGCACGTTTGAAATAAGTCTGCCTGTCCTATATGTGTGAAAGTAAGCCTTTTTCATTGTTCCCTGTATCTCTGAAATGGGTAGAATGGTGACTCTTTTACTTACTCAAAAGACCATTGTGAAGGTAAGATAAGGTCATCATAGGAAATGTTTTGCAGAGTTAAATGTCGCCTTCATAACATGGGGACAGGCTGGCTTATCTCAGAATCAAGGGGCTTCTGCAGCGCTAAGCAGGAGCTGTCTTCTTTGGAACTGCCCACAACACCTGCAGCCATGGAGCTGAACCGGTTGGTTGCTACTTCAAAAGGCAGCAAAAAATTGAGGACAGCAGGTGTTACAAGAATAAAGCCTAAATCACTAATCCAGAAATCCGTCGTGAAAAAGCAGCCATAACGTCTTGCATTGCCTTCCTGGGCTGGGTGGGTAAACCTTCATTTATTGTGTAAATGGTATTGTACTAAAGGATTTAAAAAAAAATAGATTAGCCATGACTTTCTTAAAATATCACTTTGCAAGAAGCTCGCTAATGCCACACAGCTGAGAATTAAGTATTTTAAACTCCTCATGGAAGAAAGAAAAAAAAATCCCCAACGATTAAGGACAAATATCTATTTTTCATTTAATTAAAGCAAACACATAGCCTGCTTATAAAAGTGGTCACTCTGAAAACACACACACACACACACACACACACACATACACACTTTTGTCATCTCCTTTGAAATGACACCTGGCTTAACTTCCATTTTCACAGGTGGAGAGAATTGGGGGTAGAGCATTCTGAGACTGCCATTAGTGACAGTTGGATTTCCTCTGAATTAAGTTGAATTAAGTAGTGCCTGAGGGACACTGGGGGCTCCTCTTGGGTTGGGCCTCCTGTTCAGCACCTGGATAAGCTTATATCGCCTCGGTAACCGAGCCAACCCCTTTCTTAACGTTGAAAAGGGTGATTGACACTTATTGATTTACGATAGTTCGGGTGAATTGTGGTTTCTCTCACCATGTAGATGAGTTTCCCATTTTTCTTTTTCCTACTAAAGGGACTTGTGAGGTGCATATACTAAGAGTGCACCCTTTATAACCCCCCATGTATACGTAGAGTTGTTTCCCAACGTTTTAAGCTTTCTCATACATTGCCCAGGCCCTTTTGTGAGCTTTGTCCGCTTTGAGGAGAGCCGGAGATGCCCCGCGGACAGACCAACCGTGAACTTTCTTAATAATCAGGTGCCCCAGGCACCGCACTGGGCTGCAGGCACTATATTGAGATCTGCTCCAAGTAACTTCTTACACCCTAATGTTCCCATCTCTCAAATGTTTTGGACTTTAAATATGCCACCGGGATATTTACATGGGACTTGCTTGAAATTTTTTAGAGAAAATTTTACCTTTGTAACATTTTTGCTGAAAGCAACCTTGTGTTTTGTTATTATTGTTGCAATAACTACTGGTGCTTGTTTCCTCCCTTGCTTTCAGCTTGTGAGTACTGTGCCTACGTGGATGAACGCAGCCGGCCTGGCGCTGCCTCCCAACCCAAGGCTCGGATGGAAAACTCCTATCAGCTGGGTGTGTTCTTTTATCACTCGCTTCTATTTTAAACTTCTAATTTTGTGAATGATATTTACTTAAACTAATATCTAATAACTTGGCATTATTGTCAATGCTAGTACAGTATAACAGATCTTCATTAACCGAGTGATTTGATGCTGCTTTAATTTCTTTACTATTGTGTGTGNAAACTAATATCTAATAACTTGGCATTATTGTCAATGCTAGTACAGTATAAGAGATCTTCATTAACCGAGTGATTTGATGCTGCTTTAATTTCTTTTCTATNAAACTAATATCTAATAACTTGGCATTATTGTCAATGCTAGTACAGTATAAGAGATCTTCATTAACCGAGTGATTTGATGCTGCTTTAATTTCTTTACTATTGTGTGTGTGTGTGTGTGTGTGTGTGTGTGTGTGTGTGTGATCACCCCAAACTTCATTACTTAGCAATAGAGCTCTACGATTCCAGCTCTGCAGTACCAAGGCCGCGGTTCTTCATGTGCTGGGGGCCAAGGCGTCTCCCTGGGGAGCAGTATGGCTCCAGGTAGATAGCTGGACAGAGGGACCTTGGCAAGACCTGGGGACAAGCTTTTCCCAAGGAGGAATCTCAGGGGATACCTCCTCATCATGGCCCTATCCTGGACCTGGGCGGATCTTTAGACACTCAACACCTGATGCTGCTTTAATTTCTTCCTCTGCAAACTGGGACCAACTCCCATCGCCTACTTTTCTTTATCTGTGTTTCCTAAACACCCAGCAATTCACCGAGTGGTGCTGATGAATATTATGTGTACTGAATTAAGAAATTCACTGAGTATTTGGGGGGTTATCTTGTGGAGTTATTTTATATACACTTGAAGTGTGTATATAAAATATGAAATAAAAGATATGCATTAAAGTCCTGTCCAACAAAACCAACCCATGCTGTTGACAGGTGGAGAAAAAGCCTTCAAGGCAAAGGCAAATGCTTTCTGGTCCCCTGTTGACAGAGATGTTTATCCCTCACACTGAGGTTTTAGATCTTTGAAAACAAAGATCTTTGCACCTGCCCCTATACTCCCAGTGGAGTCCACAGTGAATATCTTTTCCCATTCATGTTTCCTCTTAGACATGCTTGTTTTCTCTCGATGCGTGTCTGCCCACTATTATCTGAATCCATATATAATTACTGCTAGATAGAAATTCCACAGAGGCTTACCAGTGACCAAAGGAAGACCCTACGGGCCGGAGCAGTTCCATCTGTGCATTAACCTCAAGAAAATTATAGACCATCAGCACATCCCATTAGGCCTTGTAGCCGGTTTTCTACAGTAATCCCCAAGACTACATGGATTACAGGCTCCATAATTAGTCGGTCTACTGGTATTTTCATAGTGCTATGGTAGGCAACTAATATTCCTGCCATCCAATATACTTTTATATTTCTTCTGGTAACCCTTACCCAGTTTTTTTTAGGGGGGGAGGGGGGCACGGCATCATTACCACTTTGGGTCCATAACATTCTGCTGAAGCTGACACTAGCCTCAGAGATGCAACAGTGACTGGTTCTGGGATGGCATAGAACCCTTTGATTGGTCAAACCAAATCAAAGCCTTGATATTCAATGCAGAAAATGTTGTTTGAGCTGTTGAAGAAGCAGATCAGGCCCTGAAACCTGGAGGAATATAGGGGGTAAGGCAGCTTGGCTATCTTGCCCTCACATGAAACTGAGACCAAGAGAGAACTAAAAATGTCACCATCCGAGTCCTAAGNAATCAAAGCCTTGATATTCAATGCAGAAAATGTTGTTTGAGCTGTTGAAGAAGCAGATCAGGCCCTGAAACCTGGAGGAATACAGGGGTTAAGGCAGCTTTGGCTATCTTGCCCTCACATGAAGCTGAGACCAAGAGAGAACTAAAAATGTCACCTAAANTCTTGCCCTCACATGAAACTGAGACCAAGAGAGAACTAAAAATGTCACCATCCGAGTCCTAAGCCCAAAGTACTTTTAGACTAGGTTTTCACCCACTTATAACTAAAAGATCTGAGCCATCTGTGCCTATGACCTTGGGCCCTGCATACCNTTGGCTATCTTGCCCTCACATGAAGCTGAGACCAAGAGAGAACTAAAAATGTCACCTAAACCCAAAGTACTTTTAGACTAGGTTTTCACCCACTTATAACTAAAAGATCTGAGCCGTTCTGTGCCTATGACCTTGGGCCCTGCATACTGAAAGGGTTCAAATCAGATTTCAGCAAGATAAAGGAGTCGAAATATGAAGCCCCTGTGTTTCTTCTTCATAGGATATATTATTTGCATAACTTATTCAAATAAATGAATTAAGTCATTTTATCAGTTTTAGAAATCCTGGATGTTGAACCAAGTTAGAAAAGTAATTTTCCAAATACCATAGTGTGTGTGTGTATGTGTATATATATANAGTTTTAGAAATCCTGGATGTTGAACCAAGTTAGAAAAGTAATTTTCCAAATACCATAGTGTGTGTGTGTGTGTGTGTGTGTAATATATAACATATAACATATATAATATATAAAACATAATATATAGTATTTTTCATATTTTCTTGCAAAAAGTCNTAGTATATAGTATATAGTATATAGTATATAGTATATAGTAACATAATATATATAGTATTTTTCGTATTTTCTTGCAAAAAGTTATGTGAATTATTCTTTTATAATTAAAGTCTTTTATGCTTGACAGTCCATTTTTTAAACATTCAACTAGTCAGCTTATTAAAATAAAAAATGTATTTCTACTTCTTATTTCTGGGTTTATTTTGCATCTGAAAGGTGCTNGTGTGTGTGTGTGTGTGTAATATATAACATATAACATATATAATATATAAAACATAATATATAGTATTTTTCATATTTTCTTGCAAAAAGTCATGTGAATTATTCTTTTATAATTAAAGTCTTTTATGCTTGACAGTCCATTTTTTAAACATACAACTAGTCAGCTTATTAAAATAAAAAATGTATTTCTACTTCTACTTATTTCTGGGTTTATTTTGCATCTGAAAGGTGCTCTGTGAGTCTCTGGTAAAGATCTTCTCACAACTACAAAATGCAATACTGACCAGAATAGTAGGGTGGGGGGAATCAANTAAAATAAAAAATGTATTTCTACTTCTTATTTCTGGGTTTATTTTGCATCTGAAAGGTGCTCTGTGAGTCTTTGGTAAAGATTTTCTCACAACTACAAAATGCAATACTGACCAGATTAGTAGGGTGGGAGGAATCAGTCAGTCACCAGCATCACTGTGTTTAATTTTTCATTCTATCCAATAATATTTGTATCCTCTAAACATATCTTAAACGTTGAGCATGTTTGTACTCCCTTTATCTGAGTGATTACAGCTACCAAGGATGAGTTGAAACATGAATGCAAATTAATGAAAGGAAAAAAGGGAATGGAAAAAAATGAAAGTATATTTCTTGTAATAAAACACTTTTTACATTTGCTCATTAATTAATTACTGAAACATGCATATAGAAAAAAATAGAGGCTATAGGATCCAAAGTATCTGAATTCGAATACTAATTTTGCCAAATCCTAAATAAATGATGTTCGAGCAAGGAATTCAGAATCCTTGAATCTCAGCTTCCTCATCTGTAAACAGGGATAACAGTCCACACATTATAGGGCTACAATGCGAATTAAATGAAGTGATGTGTTTAAATTGCTTCTCCATTCATTGTGTTATTGCTTCTCAAAATGACTGGCTCTAAGACTTTACCTTGGATCACTGAGAAGAAAAGCCTTCTATGAGATCCAGTAGAGTTTCCTATTAATTATGGAATGAGTTCTCCACAGACTTTTTTTGGAGCAGTGATTGAAGACGCACTTGATTCTTTAAAGACACTGACGGTGAGCACCCAATCAGGCGGGAGTCCTTGGTGGCCCCCCTGAGACCACCGGCGTGAGAATGGAACCAACATAATGGAAAGTGGAATTTTAAGATGGAGAGAGAGAGGGAGACATCATCTGAGCTCAGCTTCCCTGAGATGAGCAGGCCCTGTCATCAGCTGCTTTCCTGGACCGAGCCCGCGGGTCTCTCAGCTCTGACTTGGCCCCTCCGTGGCGGCCTCGCTCCCTCCCTGCTCGCCTGTCGCCCCCTCGCAGGGCGCCCATCTCCCCCTCGGAGCGGGAGAGCAACAACAACGTGATCTAAGGAGCGTGTGTGGCAGACACTGTTGGAAGCACTTTAAATAGTTCAACTCATTTAATCCTAACAAAAAACAATATGCGGTCATCCTTTTTATCTCAACTTGGGGACACTGAGACACAGATATATTAAATAACCACACTTTTATCTAGTCTCTCTTATCTGTTTTTATGGACAAGTTTTTCTTTTTTGCTTTCTTTTTTATCCAGCAGAACTTCAGGTCCTTGATTTTTGATTTCTAAAAAAGCGTTCCCCTCCTGAAGAACATAAATGTCTCTCAAAAAAAAACACAAAGAAAAAAGAAAAAATGCTCTGGCGTTCACATCAGTTGACTGTCGGGAGCATATCTGGGAAGCCAAGAGCTGAACACTGACTATTTCTTCCTCTCTGGGTGTCTGCATCCCTGCCTGAGCAAGGCAACGGATGGTTCTGGCTCTACAGGGAAATGTCACAACGAAGTGAGAAAAGTTCATTACTATATTTAAAAATATTTGCAGAATAAAATCTGGTTAATGAGATTTAAAAAAAACACACCAACTAAACAAAGTGCAGAAAAGATGTTGGTTCATCTGGCCAACGGGAACTACTGGAAACGGGGACTCAAGTGCCACCAGGATTCTGTCTTTCCAGCACTGAACTGTGCGTGAGCTCCTCTCACTGTGCCCGGGACTCCCTCCCACCGTGAGAAGCATGGCCTCCAGCAGTTCCGAAGGGTCCCGTGGCATAATTTTGCCACAGAAAGAGCCTGACCCCCCCGCCCCATTTCAATTTGAAATAAAAATTCCAAGAAAGGAGTCTAATTGGCCTGGCTTGGGACAAGTGCCAGCTCTGGCCAGCCATCCATGACCTGGAGTTGAGCTCAAAGGACGCGATGGTAGATCCTAAAGGGCCAGGTGGTTAGTGTAGACAGAGGACCAGTTCCTGGAAAGGAAGGTGCTGTTCCCAAACGACAGGGAGGTGTAGTAGGCAGACAAACCCCTGCACTGATGGAATTTACCACTTTCTGAAGGTAACCATGCATATGGTCCCCGTACACATGACTAAATTAAGTGTCATGTGAGTGATGTAGGTCAAGTAGGGGATATGTGATATGAGTGCTCGGTAGGAGGAAGTGAAAAAGAGAGAGGTATCGATCTAAAGGACATAATCTATTTTATTTAGTACAAGCTGGTAGCATCATTTCAAGCTGGTAGTATTTTAAAAGTTCTTAAATAGAAAGGGGAAAATAACCCACAAATTTAGCTTCATTTCGCTAGAATATTTGAGTAGAAATCTAAAAGATCCTCAGAAAGGGACGCCGAGGCCTATAGGTACCGGGGAGCTTGCCTGCGGGGACTGCTTCCCTGCCACTGACCCCACCAGCAGGAGTAATCGGGACCAAGCTTTCACAGGCTTATAACTGCTCACCTCTGTCTTGTAGAACAGAGATTCCTGCTGACCAAGCATTGGGGTTAATTATCACACTCAGTGTACCAGGTGTCTCTGTTTTACATGTTCAGATTCATTCCCCACACTAATATAAATTTAAATGAACAATTTCTATATAATCACCAAAATAAAAATACTGTTTATTGAGCCTCAGGAGGCTGGCCTAACTCATCTATAAGCATGGGCCGTAACCTTCTGTTAGGTTCAGCCATCGGGAAACTTCAGTAGGAAGTCTCAGGGTAAAAGGACTGGGAGCTGGAGTTCTTTCCGCACCTTGCCTGTGGGTTCACTTCAGGCTGTTTGCATCCACCAGCAGAAGGACATAACTGCTCTCAAGGGAGCCTGCTTCACATGCTTCTTCCAGGATCTAGTCAGAGTCTCTTTCTCAGACCCTGCAAGCCTGGGGTAGGAAGAGGGTAACACCCTCACTTTCACTAACCCAGGCGTAGTTTCCTTTGTGATTTCCTACATCCCGCTCAGGCCTCTCGAAGGAGTCTCTTTATTAAATCCTTCTGGAATTGTCTTAACTCTACTGTGCCATGTGTTCCCTTAGACCCCGACCAATACAGTCATTAAAAATAAACACTTAAAAGATACTGATGACTAGTCCAATAGAATTGGATATAATTCTTGATTTCATTCCTTTATCCATATCAATTCAGCAAATAATGATTGAGCCCCTGCACCCCAGTCCCTGGGCACCTGTGCATGTTGTACAGTGACAGAAATACGATGAAGTTAATATTCCCAGGAGGTACAGGTAAGATTCCTGGAATGCAGGACAAAGAAGATCCATCTGAAGCTCCTTATTTGAACACGGACTAAATGTGGTGAAGAAGATGAGCTCTTGAATCAGATAAACCTGGGAGTACACCCCAGCTCTGCCACTGTGTGATTCTGGGCAAGTTACACAATGCATTTAAACCTCTGTGTTCCCATCTGTGAAATGGAGATAACAGTGAGATTTACCCCAGAGATTTATTGGATGATTATATAAGGTAATAAATATGAAACTCTTATCATAGTGCCTGACGTGTAGAAAATGCTCAATAAAAGTAGCCATGATCTGTACCATGGTTATTATCTATAAATGTTTGTTTTGCTCTTGTTTTGGAAATCACACATTGAACACTTCTTGTGCCTTTAGCACGGAGTTAGTCTCTGAAGAAGATAAGGTCGGGCCTGCCTTACCGTTTCACTGGGGAGAGGGTGGGCATGCCTCAGCCCTTAGGTGGATGAGGAGCCGCGACAGAGGTGGGGTCCCAGTGCTCTGGGAGCACAGAGGAGGGGGTGGCTTCTATCTGAAGAGAGGAAGAAGGATACCTGGAAAGGGCTTTGAGCTGGCCTTGAAACGTTAGTGGCTATTTCTCAGATGAACAAGACGGGAAAGGGTGTTCCATACAAAAAACAGAGCAAGGGCGAATGTCCAAGCACCCTTTAAAAAATGAAGCCCGTGAGGCGCAGCAGCAGCCACGAGGAGCTGTGGTGCTGGGAGGGGAGTCTCGGGAGGACGGGGGCCGAAGCTCAGCCCTCGCCAAGGGCAATGCTGCAGGAAGACCTGGGACTTAGCGCCACCGGCCAGCTGCAGTGTGGTTGGCAGACCGGAGGGGGGAGAGGTGCTGAGACTTGGGGGGAAGTCACTGGGAGTGGGAGCTGGGAGGGTACCTGTTGGTGTCAGGCCTGCGTGGCTGAGCACACTCTTTGGGTAGCTGCTAAGTGGGCGAGCCCATTGCCCTGTCCTCTGTCCGGGAACCTGACTGGGAAACTAACTAAGACTACCTATTTTTCCTTAAATGAGGGCCCCACAGAAGACTGAGCGTCTCTTCATGGTTCAGTGCTCTTCATTAGCCTCTGAGGTGCGCAGTCTGATATAAAGTGACTTCTCAGCCCTGGCTGGTGTGGCTCAGTGGTTGGGCGCCCTCCCGAGCACAGAGAGGTTGGGGTTCCATGCGGGTCAGAGCACGTGCCCCGGTTTCCGCTGGGTGCCGGTAGGGGGCGTGCAGGAGGCCCTGACATGTTACCCTCTCACATCCAGGTTTCTCTCTCCTCCTTTCCTCTCTAATAAATCACTAAACTATTCTTTTTTTAAATAATAAATAAAATGACTGCCTAGAAAGAAACTTTGTCTGTGTTTTCAGGTCCTACCACACCCTTTCCTGTGGTCACTGTCAGTCACATTCTGAAAGATGTGTTAACTGGCTATCTGCAAGAAGAACGATATGAGCCGGAGCTCTGTCGACAGATGACTAAGACAATTTCTGAGGTAATGTGCGATTTGCCTAAAGTGTTAACTACAACTAGAATATTTGCTGAAAGCATGACCCCCTACTTTTTGAAGAAAGCAATTAATGGGCAGTAGCAGTAAAAATGCTTATTTATATTTTATTTTATTAAAATATTTACTAGGTCATATTCTATGTGTGTAAAAGCCTTTGTCTAAAACAATCATTATGTGCATCATTTGCATGCATTTTGTTTTAAAAATGTATAAAACGGCCCCATTTATTTTTAAAAATTATTGTAAGAGACAAAATATTTTAATGATCATTTCTCTTCCCCAAGGCAGCTTTGATGCCCATCAAACACAGACATTGTGGCCTTTAAATACATTTAAATACATTCATTTCTATTTTTATCAATTAAAGTGCTGGCACTCCACCAGCTGTTCTCCGTTTGCTGTTTTGTTACAAAGTCTTTAATGAGCATTTATGATTAGTCATATCACAGGAGACTCCAGGCCTATGGTTTCTTACTTAGGCATGAACAGGATGGTGTAACTCTAATGCCAACACTCCCTGAAGGGAAGCCATCTTAACATAGATTTTCAAAAGAATGTAATAACTCTATTAATAAATTCCATTTTCAGCATTACAGTATTTTCATGTGCCTTAGAAAATGTAGATTTATTGCTGGTGCTATCACGTTGTCCCTACATGTCCACTCTCATGAGGACAGTGCTTGAAGCAATTCAGTTATGGCTTTATAACAATTTCTGAAAGTATCTACAATGGATCATGCTATTTTCTTAAAACCACTATATTTATGAAAAAGATTAATACCCTTAAGATTCAGTGTTGCTAAATGAGAACCTTTTTTTCTCCTTTTAAATCCTAGGTTATTAAAGCCCAGGTCAAGGCCTTGGCGATTCCGAGGTACAAGCTAATTGTGACTGTTCACATTGGACAGCGGGACGGTCAGAGCATACTTATTGGAAGTAGATGCCTCTGGAACCCTAAAAGTGATAACTTTGCATCTTATGTTTTTAGAAACTCTTCTCTCTTTGCTCTTGCAAACGTCTATGCCGTTTACTTTGAGTGACTGAAAAGAAGAAATCTAGTATTACTTTTTTTTAAATCAAGAAATAGGCTGTATCTAAGTACACAAATTTTTACTGAACTAAAAGTTTGAGAAGAAAATATTAATACTTCAAGCAACTGGAAGATTTTGGACTTTTTTTATACTCTTAAAGGTTGGGGGAAGGGAAGGTGGCACAGGAAAGAATCTTGTTTAGCTTAAGAAGGAACGAAGTCTTGGTCCTGTTGGATTTTTTTCATAGTCATAGGTTCTTATTAAATATTACTTTGGGTACTAATTATTTTAATTAGTCTTCAGTTAAAGAGTTAGAATTTTCTGCATTGTTGTTAATTGAAGAGAAGTTGTTTTTTTTTTTTTTTAAAAAAAACACACATATGGCTACAAACCCTGGCCCATAAATGACAGTAGAATATTCAACATGGTATACACAACTGATAGACCTTAGTATGCCTCAGTGCTGCGTATAAAAGAATACTGGCTTTCATCTTCTACTTAATAAATTGAGCAGCATTCATTAACTGCAATTACTGTTACATGTACCTGACAGTTGAAACTGCTGAGGTAGAATTAATGATTTCATAACAATTACCGTGGTCCCGTGGGGCCGCTAGCTAAAACTAGAAGCTCTTGCGGGTTGCCTGCACTTTACAGAATTGTGGGAGAACTGAATGTTGGCTCTTCAATAATGGAAACTATAAAGTGAACAAAGCCTTTTTAGGGCACCGAAGTAATCGTTGTGATATTAAATATACATGATGCCTAAGAGTAAATGTATTTGTAACACATAAAATCATGGATTCGAAAGAGACACTGCTTTTAAGTGGACACTGCCCAATGTGCCTTTGAATAGATTTTCTGAGGCTAACAAACTTTCCCACAAAATATATAGCTGGCAGCTTAACACATAAGACATGTGTATTTACTATTTTGTCCCTATGAATTTAGTGCTGAAGTGATCCAGTGTGGTTTTGAATGGATGGCACTAAAATTTACAGGGCTGAAATAGTTTATTATTCTGCTGGTTAATGTAGCTTGTACTCATGGATCATTTATTTTTATGGAGCTTTCAGCCCTTTGTGTGCATGTAAAATGATGCTGGGGCATTGTTCTTGGATGGTAAGTGGACTGCCTAGAGGACATTTGTTAGAGGTCAAAGACAAATTGTACACATATGGAAAAAATTAGCAACACCGTAGTCCTAAGGAAAAAATGATGTGTAATTCATACCAAAAAGAATTTAGGAAGTGGGAAAACAGTCAGTGGGTTATAGTTTTAAAATGTATCGATGTCTCATTTTTCCCCCCAAATGACATGTAGTAAAAACACATATACTTTTAAAATCTCTTTCCTTCTGCTTGCTCTGGCTTTTAGGGTAGCTTTTCAAAATGAATTAGCTGGTGTTTGTTATTTTTTTCTGTTAGTGCCTTGGTGGGAATATGTCCGTGTAATAATTTATCACAACCAATACTTGTCAATCTCCATAGGCCAGTTTGGGATCTGGATTAAATCATAAATACAGTAAGTTCATGAGCTTCCTATTTTCATTGCACATTTGTGAACATCTCCTCTCTTGGGACGACAGCAGGGACAATCATAGAGCGATTTTGTGTGATTAAATAAGAATAAAGAAAATTCTTTAGTATGTGGAAAGTCCATTGTAAAAATGGCTTTTTTTTAGTTCTAACATCTTATCCATGAGATTGTCTTACCATCTGTCCCAGCTGTGTTAGGAATCAAACCTTAAAACATGATGGCTGTTAAAAAGCAAAGAGGAAGCAGTCTGCCTGTCTATGGCCATGTACTGTATGTAATCCAGAGAGTCGATGATGAATTTTAGCAACTATCTAGCAGAAGAATATACAGTGAAAAGCCACTCGTTGTGACGAACTTGGAAGAATGCTGGTTGTCCCAAAAGGCCTTGGATGGGTGTGTCAGCTAAGCCATGGTGGTAAGCACATGGCAGTATACAATATTATATAAATGTATCGAATCGACGTGCTACACCTTGAACTTACACACTATTATGTCAATTACATATTAATTAAAAAAATTAAACATTAAGAAAAAAGAAATGATACTGTAAATTTGAAAGAATGGTTTAATTTGAAACATCCTGACTTTCCCTGGTGCTTTCCTTCTCAGTGGGTGTTCCTAAAGGCCACCCTTGTTCCCCGCCCTGCGGCGCCCAGGCCCTTCCTTCCCCTACAGCTACTTTCTTCACTTCTCAGCGCTGCACTCGGGTCTCACCCTTCCTCTGAACCCTCCCCATTCCCTCCTTCCCTCCCGTCTCTCATCGCTCTCACAGTCGAGCTCCTGGTTGTTCTCCAGCCAAGTTTGGAACAGTAGTTTCGTTTCCCTTACTAGATCGAAAACATCTTGACTACACGGACCACACACCCTGGCAGCGCCTAACAATAAAATTTAATGCGGGCGAACGCTTCAAGTAAGAGGGGATGGCTCCACGCTAACCGGCTCCCAACCACAAAGATGCTGGTAACAGTTACCAGGATCCTACGGGGGCGATAAGCACACAAGCGACCCAGTGCGGGCTAGGATATGATTTTGTAAGAAAAGCCCAGCGTATCTTTATCTGAATAAGGGAATCAGAGAAGGATTCCTGAAGGAGGTAGCACCGACCTAGGCCGTGAAGGTGATAAGTAGACTTTCAGCTGACGGAGGAGGTCAGAGCCCTGGGTGAAAACGGTGTTCACAAGGACAAGTGCTCAGAGCTAAGAGCGGAAGGGCCCTTGGATGGTAACCGGAATGCCTGGGTTAGAAAATGACACGCAGACCCCGGGTAGGCACCGAAGGCTTTCGCTCAGCTAATAATATACATGAGGTGACTCCCTCAGATAAACCTGTCAGTGGAGAGCGGAAAGACCGCTGAGGAGAAGTGAGGGGCCATGAGAGGCTGAACTGAGTGGGGACGCGGAAATGGAAAACAGGACAGTTGTGCGGGAGGGACACTGTAGGGGCAAAGTCTTCACGACCAGGCATAGGGGAAGGACGAGTCACAGGTGACTCTAAGGGAACACGACAGCACTTGAAAGTTTGGAGCTCTGGATGTTTGCAGTCTCAGGTCTGAGTCCTGTTGTCACAGTCACTAGTTAAGTGACCTTAAATAAACTGCCAGCCCTGGCTGGTTTGGCTCAGTGGTTAGGGCATCGGCCCTCGGACTGAAGGGTCTCAGGTTCGATTCCGGCCCAGGGCATGTACCTGGGCTGCAGGCTTGATCCCGGCCCCGGTCGGGGAGTGTGCGGGAGGCAACCAGTTGATGTGTCTCTCTCACATCCATGTTTCTCTCTCTCTCTCCTTCCACTCTAAAAAAGCAATGGAAAAAAAATATCCTTGGATGAGAATTTTTAAAAAAATTATTAAAAATATAATACATTACCAACCTCACTTGGCCACAGCTTCCCCATCTTAAAGTAATGATGATGCTGGCACCTACCTCACAGGGTTTGGGAGTCGGGCCGAGGATGGGGGGCAGCCATGGTTGGGGCCCAGCCCCAGGAGACATAACACTTACTCAGAGGGGGGGCTAACCAGGGCATGTGGGGGTACAGCCTCTGCTTACCAAAAGCAAGTGAAAATACCCGGTCGCTAAGCTCTTAACAGTACAGAGCCCGATAGGAAGCCCTGGGCAACAGTAGCTCCTGTGACCGCAGTTGAAAGGTTGAGTCTGGGCAACGAGATCAGTGGTCCTGGTAGCAAAACTAAGGGCCGGTTAGCAGGAAGGACGGAGGACCGAGATTCTAAGTTTGAGCTTGTACTTGTTGCATTTAAGTTAAGAATGGGACGTGCAGACGGAGGTGCCCTCAGGCAGCTGAAAAAGGGGAGGTGGCGCTGAGCGAGGACGGCGAGGTGAGAGAGTTAGGCTTGGCCGCCGTCCACGCTGAGACCTGTCCCCCTCCCGCTTCATAAAATATTCATTAGCAGCAGCTTCAGCTGCATAGTCAGTACTAATAGCAAATTAGGGACAATTCTGTTGACTCTGGGAATGTCGGCGGGAAACCCTCCCCCAAAATCAATAGGGAAAATTTCCCCTCAAACCAAATTAAACAATGCCTTCCTTTTTATCTTCACTTTAAAGTATTTCTATATGATCTGTTTCTGTTATCAGACATCATAGGAAATATAAAGCTTCTCTCAAAAATACGTTAGCACATCTTGAATCAAGATGTTTCTTGTCTGTTGTCATTGTTGATAGAACGATGCTAAAGAAAGCATAGTAGGAGGCCCTGACAACAGAGCCCAATAGACTGTCTGCTGGGAAATTAAGCACTGCTTCAGTTCATTGATTTAAAAAAAAAAAAAACCTCTTGAGAATTATCCAGTATATGGGAGTGAGTTAAAAAACAATTCAGAAATTAGAACTTTTAAATCTAGCATTTTAGAGAATGAACACTTTCTTTGTTGGGACCATTACCTGACCTTTCTAGGTATATTTAAAAAGGCATCGGGAAAACTCAGTACTAAAGGGTTATTGATCGTTTACTGTGCTCTTTTGCTTTCAAACTTTTAAGGAAGTGGCCCGCACCCACCACCTCAGGTTTTCTCTGCTCCCCTGCCTCTCATCTCCTGCAGCCTGGTTCTCACCCCCAGCCCTGAGTTGTTTTCACAAACAGCAGAAGTGGTCCCTCAGGCCAGACCGACCCAGCATTCCTCCAGCTGCATTCCGGCTGAGCTGCTGAATTCGTTTCTTTTGAGCAGCAATGTGATCTAGGTTTTTGGTTTTGTTTCTGTTTTAACACAGATTCGACAAACATCTCATTTTAGCTTTGAATCCTTTCTAGTTGTGTGACGTTAGGCAAAGAGGCCGGTGTCCTGAGCCTCCGTTTTCTCCAGGGTAAAAATGATTATAATAACGATTGAAAGGTTAAAGTTGGTGGTGCTGGGGCAGGCTGGATAGCCATCTCAGATGGTGAATAAAGGAAAATGGAATTTATTTAAAGAAAAGGGGATAGGGGTGGGGATATGCAAAGGGAAGGGCTACAGAGAACTCAGCCACAGGGTCCTGGGTGGACGATGGCAACCCCTAGGAGCTGGAGTCTCGGCCTTACCTGCAGCCCCTGGCGGGAAGCTTTTGTGGTCGGTGGGTTTTGGGGGCTTGGTTGGTGGGCTTGGGCCGTGGGGTTGGGTCGACAGGATTGCAAATGTGCGATCGGGTGCTTCTGGGCCGTTTTAGTTCCTTATATGGTTTGATCCCTGGTGTCTGGCATTTCCTGCCTGACAAGTCTTCCTGGTCTGTTTTTCTGCGGCGGGGAAGCTTATGGTTAAGAATTAGATTGCCTGTGAGTCCTAACTGAAAGGTTAGGGCCGGTGGGGCGTGGGCAGGATAAACAGCCATCTCAGATGGTGAATAAAGAAAAATTGAATTTATTTCAGGAAAGGGGATGGGGGGTGGGGAGATCCAAAGGGAAGGGCTACACAGCAGTGAGTCAAAGGGTATTGGGTCCATGACGGCAGCAAAAATATACTTGGGACAGGGAAACAAGGAAGAGCATAGAAGAGGCAACAGGAGCCCAGGCTGGGCTGCACTGGCTCACTGGGAAGTCAGAGAGAGGAGGGGCCTTGGAGAGGTTCAGGGGTAAGCCCGGGAGGAGCTGCCGCTGCCCATTGCTCCCCTGGTTGCAAGTCTCCTGGGGTCCCCTCGGAGGGAAGAAGGGGAAGGAGATGGCCCTGGTGTGCTCCCCTGGTGGGGTGCTCTTGCGGGGTCCTTTGTCCTGAGCGTATTTCTTTCTTGCAGGTGGGAATCTTAGGGGAGGTCTCAGGGGGGTGTCTCAATAGAATATTCATCAGCTTTCCAGGGGTGCTCTTTCAGGGTCCTGGCCTCCACTGGTTGGTTGGTGCCAGGGTGGGTGGGGGCACGGGGAAGGGCAGTCGTTAGTCAGTGCAGCTGGTCCTGAGGAAGCCACAGTGCCGCTTGTCTGGTTTTGCTGCTTTTCTGGGCCTGGAGCTGAAATACAACTGAGGCCTAGATGTTATCTTTAGGGAGGAAACGCTCAGGGGGTCTAACACGCAGGACCAGCGATATGCTGGGGGAGGATAGGTTACCCTGGGGACAGGGTTTTTGTTTTCCCAGTTTTGCCCCTTGCTGGGCATCTGGGGCTTTCTGCCCTGGTGAGTTTCTGTACCCGGGTTTCTGTACCTGGCCCATCTAACACTAACAATGATCACTACTTATCACTGATCAATGATCACTACTTATGTTCTTGCCATGAAGAGTGAAAGGGGAAGTGTACGAAAATGTCTGACCCATCGTAGAATCTTACCCTTGATCTCCAATTTCTTGCTGCAGAGCCTGTTTTCCTAAAGATTTGAGCGTCTGTTTTAGCAACTTCTGCTCACCACCACAATGTAATACCCAGGTCACCTGCTTTCTTTTCAAAGTTTTAATCATCTGCTGCCGTCTTTGAATGACAAATAATTTCTCCTAAAGTCAACATTTATTACAAAATCCTGTTCATTTTCAAATTTAGCCTCTTTTTGCTAATCTCTGCTGGTTTGTACACTTCTTACAATTACATGCCTTGCCTCCCACTCTAGTACTTTCTTGGTTTCTTTTAATGCTTTTGCTTTACTGCCACTTATTTTTTCCTGTCCATTTGAATTTTTATGTGCTCTTCTTCATATGTAGGAACTCATGCTACTAGAAGGTTGAATGAGGCTTACATATGTTAAGGATCTCATTAAAGTAATCTCTTCTCAGTTTCTTTCCTTGCTAGTTTAATGATGATACACAATTTTTCTCTTTTATTTTAGTGCAGGTTATAACTTGAAACTTGTGGTTCCCCACCCACCCACTGGGCAGTTTTCCCCTACTTAGCAAGGCAAGGAACCAGCATAACCAGTATGGGAGCACTGAGCTTCACTTTCCATTTCTAATAAAAAATGAAAGTTGTTGCTTCCCACAGACAGACAAAGATGAAAGTGAATCATCTAACTATCCAAAGGAAAGAATATCCGGCCTGATTTGTGAAGAGGGTGCTGGGAAATCATTTTTTAAATTCATATAAAAAAACACTAAGCTTAGAAAGTCATTATTTCATTAAAAAAAAAAAAAAAAAACTAAATGTTAATTTTATATAAAAATACATTATATTTTCCTTTAAGGAAATTTATTCTATAACAAGAAATTTGCTTTGACAAGAGTTAAAAATTTTGAAAACCAGTCAATTTGCATCCAAAATCTTAAACACAAGTAAAAGCCTCTTAAGGACCCACTCTAGAGAACTGGGTCAACCTGAGGAAATTGGAATGTTCTTAAGCACAGGTCAGAAAAATGTAAAAGGCCAGTTAGTAACTATTTTAAGCTCTGTAGACCATAGGTCTCTGTTACAGCTTCTCAACTCTGGCCTTGAAGCACAAAAGCAGCCATGGACAGTAAGTAACCAAGTAAGTGTGGCTGTGTCCCAGTAAAACTGAAAAATTACACACTTGGTTGTATTATACTACAGTGAATTTTTTTTTAGTCACCAAGCAAAAGATACTATTGTTACCAGCAAGACAAAAGACAACAAGAGCTCAGTTCTTGTCTTCTTGAAGGAAAGATTTCAATCAAGAGACAAAGTGTAGCAAAGTAAATAAGAATTTATTGGCCGCAGCAAAAATATAGTTGGGACAGAGAAACAAGGAAGGGCACAGAAGAAGCAACAGGAGAGCCTAGGCTGGGCTGCTTTGGCTCACGGGGAAGTCAGAGAAAAGGGGGCCTTGGAGACAGGTTCAGGGGGTTAGCCCGGGACAAGCTGCCGCTGCCCATTGCTCCTCTCATGGGGTCCCTTAGAGGAAAGAAGGGGGAAGGGATTGGCACGGGTGTGCGCCCTGGGGGAGAGCACACACCCGGTCCTTCATCCTGAGCATATTTCTCTCTCTCTTGCAGGTGGGAATCTTAGGGGAGGTCTCAGGGAGGGTCTCAACAGAATATTCATCAGCTTTCCAGGGGTGCTCTTTCAGGGTCCCAGTCTCCATTGATAGGTTGGCACCAGGGCAGGGGTCAATGCAGCTGGTTCTGAGCAGCCACGGAGGTCACTTGTCTGGTTTTGCTGCTTTCCTGGGCCCGGAGCTGAAATAAACTGAGGCCTAGGGGTCATCTCTGCGGAGGGAAAGGTCAGGGGATTCTAGACTGCATGAGCAGTATGAAAAGTCAGGGGGTCCAAACCGCATGACCAGCAACATGCTAGGAGAGGAAAGGCTACCCTGGGGATGAGGTTCTTGTTTCCCCAGTTTTGCCCCTCGCTAGGGATTCAGAGCTTTCTGCCCTGGTGAGTTTCTGTACCTAGCCCATCGTCCTTGTTCTGCTCATGTCTGTCTAATTGCCTATAACACTATTACAGCTTTTTTTCTTTCAGATTTCTAAAGAACAGATAAATGCCTTCATTTTATGAAGTTATATCAGTCTTCACTGCCAAACAGGTAGAGATCAATTTTTCTTATAAACACAGACATAAAAATCCCAAATAAAATATTAACAGTTCAGTCATTCTGCGTATTAAAAATATTACATCATGATCAAATAGATTTATTCTGAGAATGCAGAGAAATTTCAACATGAGGAAGGCTATCAACACAATTCTTTTTGTTTTTTTTAATCTCACCTGAGTATATATTTTACTGATTTTAGAGGGGGGGGAGGGAGACAGAGTGAGAGTGAGAGAAACAGAAACATTGATGTGAGAGACACACCAATTGGATCCCTGCCCCATGCGCCGGGGATCAAGCCTGCAACCAAGGTTCGTGTGCCCTTGACCAGAATCAAACCCGAGACCCTTCAGTCCGAAGGCCAGCACTCTAACCACTGAGCAAAACCGGTAGGGCTATGAGAAATCTCTGTGCCTCCCTTTCAATTGTGTTATAAATCTCAAATTGCTACAAAAAAATTAAGTCTTAAATTTTTAAAAATTTTATGGTAACTAAAATTTACTAGTGAGAATCCAAAGCCAGCCTAGAAAGCCAGCAAAATAATGCCTTCTGTAATCCGTAACTCTCAGGTGAAAATCTTCAAGTAAAAATTTGATGCTAATCTGAAAGTATAGGAGAGTCTACAAGATCAGGGTTGAGAAACGCAGAATGGAATAGTTCAGTGCTTCAGGCTCAGTTGCCCAGGATCCGAGTATGAAATAGCTTCATTTTTCATTTAGGCTTGATGAGAGTAGGATATGTGAAAATTTTTAAAGATCAAAAACACATAATAAAAAGAAACACATCTTTTTTTTTTTTCAATGAAATAAAGTTTTATTTTGTTGCACAAAGTGTTTTAGGAAGACCAGCCTTTCAAGAAAGACAAGAGGAAGTATCACAAGGACTAATAGGGCCAGAAAGGGTTGCTCCAAAGAAATGGAGATTTTGAAGAAATTGACACTTGTGAAAGGTAGTTCCCACTGTTGCACTGATTGCATTCTCGGTTTTCTGTATCTGTCTTTTTTCAGAGAGCTTAGTGAGTTTTAAATGCCTTATCTTGCCCTCCTCACGGAACATGCTTTATAGGCCATACTGTCCTTCAGCCTCAGTTAACAAGATCGAGGACTTGTTAAACAGCACGGAACAGACTGTTAGCTATCTATATTTGGAGGAGTTGCTGCCTCCCACTCCTTCTATTTCCACAAGCTTGCCCTAGAACCCATTATAAAGTAACATCCTGATGCAAACTCTAGATCAGGGACTTTGTTTTCTCTGTGGGCCCATTAAGTCTGGGCAGATTCTGGGTGTGCAAGAGGAGGGAGCCCTGATGTGTCCCAGACTCTCCTCACTGAACCGGGAGTGTGATGCCCAGGGGGCAAACAGTTCAATTCTCACATTTGCTGTCATATCTTTTGCTTGTTGAATAGTCTAATAAAGCTCTATAGCTTCAGCTCTCAGATCCAAGAAGATTAATATTGATTTAAAGTTGAGCATGAGGATCCAATACTCTTCTTAATACTAACACCTGCATAATTCATAAACCTTGAAAAACAGAGCTTGGAAAGTAGAAGTGTATTTAAAAAGTAGAAGTAGATTTAAAAGTGTATAGAACTTGGTCTTAATTAATATTTTTGTTTAAGTAATTCTAATACCTTCCATGCTTTTCTTCTAAAGAAATAATTTTCTAACATATTTAGACATTTTCTAAGTATGTATGTCTACTTGGAATATGATTAAGAAACAGAGTAGGAGTATCTTTCAAAATTTAAGAAAATCTCAACAATACCCTTACAATTAGCTTAGATAAAAAACTAATCACATAACTCTGGAATAAAAGTTGATTAAATTTATATTATACTTAAACAGAAGTTATATGTTAAATATTATTTTTAAAAATAAAAATCCCAGCTTACTGCATCTGAATCAGACTATTGGATATTAAACGCTCTTTCTTTCTTTCTTTTATTTTAAACAATAACATGAAAAGATATCAGTAATGATGAATTATCCTGGTTGGTTTGACCTGGGTCCAAGCAAATTATCTATCATATCTCTCTGAAAAAAAAAAAAAAGTCACATAATTACAATCAAAATACAAATTAGGAGGTAAAGTAGTCTTTAAAATGTCATTTAAAATTTATAAGTTAGTGATACACATATAAAGGACATCTGATAAGATTGTAAAAGGGAAACAAACCAAGGTAAGTTTAAACAGTAACAGTCACTTCCTTGTATAAACTTGCTCTTTCCTATGAAAGGCTTTTACTGCAGTTTGATAAACAGATTTATAAGGATTAGTAAAGGGACAATTTTGGCAGCTCCTGTTTAGCTTAATGCATAGACCTGAGTTTTCCCATCTGTAAAATAACTTTTAATCTTAATGATATCTTAGGCTTTTTCATGATCTGTAATACTTGATTTAGAGAGAATAAAATGTCTGAATTTCTATGTGGATTTTGTATTTTATTTAATAATAACAATCTTCGTACTAAAGGGTCAAAATGATCATATGTAAGCGGATGAAACCAAAGAGGGGCGAGGAGTTTTTAAGAACGATACAGTGAAAAGATGGGAATTGGAAGCAGAAGGCTGGAGATTTTTCAATCACGCAGTCAAGGTGGTCTTGAGAAAATCACTTACATCTAGAAATCTTAGTTTCCTTTAGTGTATAAGGGAAATATTTAACATCTACTTCTAAAAACTGTTATAAGGTTCAATGAGCTAATGTATGTGAAAGTGTGTTATAAACTCTGAAGTTACAATAAACACAGTAGCTAGCGCTGTGCGACCCAGGTCCTGTCTTTCTGCCTGGACTATCGTTCTCCTTGGCCTTTCTCCATGCTTCACGCCCTGACACCCCAAATCAGCTGCCACATTGCTTCTCAAACCCACCTCATTCTAGTTCCTTCTCACTTGGGCAGATGTAATAGATCACTACTGTAATGTGTTCACTGTTATATTCTTAGTGCCCAAAATAGACCTCACCATAGTGCATACTCAGTAAATATTTGCTGAAAGAGTGGTCTGTTTTTTCTGCCTTCCATGTCTCTCAGCATTTATTTATTGTGTGTGTGTGTGTTATGTTTCTAAAACCCCATTTTGAAGATTTTACTTTTACTTTTTCTTTAATTTGGGGGAAGAAAAAGGTAAATGCCCAAAGTATACAGAATGACATGACAAACATTTGTGCATGGAAACGTAAGAGTAGACGTAATAACACCCAGGAGTCATTCTCTACAGGCTGCCTCCAGAAAAGGAGTTTCTTTGTGCAATGCCCCATGAAAATTGGCGTCTACCAAGTGCTTAAACCATAATTCTATACAATGCAAGACTTGAGCCCCCAGCAACCTGAGCCAGTTGGTGTTTGGACAAACAATAAATGCTAATGTGGTGGTAGATCCTGTTGACAGCTGGCTACGTCATTTGCTCTAATTGCAAGGCTCGGACCCCAGGCCCGTTCACGCCAGGCATCAGAATGATGTTGCGCCTAACCATGAGCCCTGACTGGGTAGGCCAGGGCTGCAGCCAATGTTCCACCACGTCACAGCACAATAATATTCTGGGTTTTGATCACATCAGGGAGCAGCCAGAGCTTTAGAAATCTCGTCCCTCAAAACCTCCACAGCCCAAGGGTCCTTCTCCTGCTGCTGTGTAAGGCTGCAAGGCTGCGGGGCAATGCGGAGATGCAGGGGAGTTCTGACCCTAAGCCCGCTGCTGGTCCTTTCTCTGTGGTTTCCCCGGTTAGCCCTGTGGCAGCACACTAGCTGCATGTGCTATCTGTACTTTGCCTTTGGAAAACACACATCCACTCCAAGTCAACAAATGTCTCTTTGCCTTGGATACTTTTTAATAAAAGAAATAAAACCTTATTGATAAATTTAAAGTTCCCTTTGCAACCCTCCCCAATCCTGTTCCCTCAGCATTCACCTCCCAGAGACAGCCTTTACCATCAATTTGGGACACATTCTTCCTATAGAATGAAATCATAAGCCTTCCAAAATTTTGATTCACTCTTGGTCAAAATTAATGGGGAAATGATAGGTCATAATGTTACTTGATAAGATATCTTGATAGAAAATAATGGTTTGATGTTAATTTGAGACTTCATATTACTGTTATGATTATAATTCTCTGAAAAGCTAGGAAAGAGGTATATCAGGTAAGCTTGTGTTTGGCTATAAGTAACATAAAAACTGATTATTGGTTAATCTCCCAGAAATACAATCCTTAACCTTTAAAATACTATGACCAAAGCATAAAAAACTTACTTGTAGTAGGAAACTATAGTTATTTACTAATGCCTGGAATATATTTGTTAAAAGAAAATTTTGCTCATCAGCATTGAAATCATTAACACACACACATGCACACATTTGTCAAAAAGTGCAGACTCTTGGAATGTAGCCTTCTTTCTGCTTGCATGGCATACTGCTCACAATAAAAGATGCCTCTAACTGATTTAAGTCCAAACACAAAAATGAAACATTGTCTTCCACATTCTAGTCCATACATTTACTAACTATAAATATGTCTACTAAGAAACACAGTTTTAACTTTTGTGTTTAAATAATATTACATAAATCATAACATATTGTACATTCATGAAATTTGCTTTTATCACTCAACACTGTGTTTTTTAAGATTTATTCAAAATTTGTCATATTGACACACTGAAATATATATCATTTAAACTTTTGTATTGTAGTCACTCATGTGAATGTGCTATATTTTATTTATCTAGTTTTCCACTGATGATCATGTAGGTTGTTTCCAATTTATCAACACAGAAGCAAGGCTCTTATAAACATTCTTTTCTCATAAGTATGTCTGTCAAACTATCCACAAATTAAACAAAGCCCTGGGAGATATGTAGAATCCAAACAGATAGCATTTAAACATCTATAAAGATAGTAGTCCTACCAGATAGGAAAACTGTATTAACTTAGAATTAATTACCCAGTAAATAAATGAATAGAAATCAGTCAAGTGATACAGCAATATGTACAGGATTGCAGACCTCCATGAGAAGATGGAGAATGTAAGTAATATGTAACTAGACTAGGAGACAAGAGCTTCGAGACCACTCCATATGGAGGACACTGACAAGTCAACAGTAGAACAGGGCGCGGCCCGGCAGCCAAGATAGGAAAGTCCCCTTAAGGTCCACAGACAATATGCATCTCAGCCAGTTGAGAAAAGAATCTCCAAAACTGCTTAGAATGTTTCATGTGTTTCTTTATCGGGAAAACAAGTTTTTACCCTCAGGAGAATAAGAATTGTATATGGAAATAATGTAGCAAATCAAACCGGTAATGTTGCCATTTTTGTATAAGGCATTTGAACATATATTTTGTATTTTAAATTATTCATTATATAGAGAGAATTTGTCACATTAAATTTTCTAACGAATGAAGTTGTGATTTTAATTTAAATTAACTTTTATTTCTTTCCAATTTGATTATTTATTTAACATTTACAGCTACATAAATGGTTACGGTTGGGGTAGAACTAACTCCACCTCCTACACGTGACCCAAATCTAGTCCACACATCTGACTTCCCTGACCACATTCCCCTCTGGTTGGATACTCAAGTTAGTTCCTTCTTTTTCTTCTTCTTTTCTCTAATACAATCACAAATAATGCTATGGTTAATTTCTTTGATTGCCCTTATGAATATTTCTACAGGACAGAGTCCTAGAAGTGGACAGTCTCGGTTTATATTGCTAAATTGCTTCCAAAGAAGTCATACCAATTTCTCTTCCAACCACCAGTATACCAGAGGACCTATCTTATCAACTCAAATGTAAAAAAAAATTTTTTTAAATATAGGAGAATGCTATCACATTTTAATTTAATGTAATAAATTTTTATTTCTTTAGTTATTAGCAAGGTTGAATTTTAAAGTGTAAGTTACTAGTCATTTTTTGTGAATGAAGCTTCTAATCATTACCCACTCTCACTGAGTCTTAGTGTCTTTTCTTACTGATTTGTGAATATTTTTAACATGTTTATTGTATTTACTGTAATATTTGCGAGGTTAGTCCTTAAAATAGAAATTTAAACATGAAGAACTTGAAAAGCTACCTTAAAAATAATGGGCATCTATTGATACTGCTTTGCTTGCCAATGTTTTACAACACAGTTTTGGTATTTTAAGATCAGAGAAAGGAACTAGAATAATGCCAAACCAATAGAAACAAATGCCTAATTTAGGAACACTGGATACTGTCTAAAAATATTATTTCTTGTAAAAGTCTTTGAATATTTTCAGTAAACATTTTTTGGCAACATTTAACAATTATTAAGCCCTAAATATATACTAGACACAATTTTAAGTTCTTACATATGACATTATTATCCTCATTTTACAGATAGAAAACGTGAGGCTCAAAGAAAATAAGTCTAGGAATCATGCCTAGTAGTAGGTAGCAACTCTTAGGACTTATATTTTTCTATTAGGTGTCATATATACGATTAACATTTAAATCAGGAGAATCTGAATATAGCAGATTATCCTACTGCACATGGGTGGGACTCATCCGATTTGTTGAAGGCTGTAAGAGAAAAACCTGAATTCCCGGAGGTGGAATAATATTCTGCCTCTTGACCGTACCATACTTAAGATATAAAAAATGTAAATCCCTTGCATGACACAAAATTGCAATTAAATAAAATCACGTAATCACATAAAATTTTGACTTTTGAGTCTTACCCGGCCAGACTCCGAAGCGGCGGGCATGTTTCTCAGTTCATACACAGCAACCTGCCCATCACTGTCTCCCACTAGAAGGCAGTCTGTTTGCTTAGCAAAGACGACAGTTGTGAACTTGATTCCAGGGTTAGCAACATTCACAATTAGGGGATCCAAACTGCAATAAAATATTTTATTTGTAAATTTAGTTGTTGTTAATACGTTCTTTGTACTATCAGACTTAGACAAGTCTGAAATATGCTTTGTGTTTCATGTAGCAAACATCAAAAGCTTAAGTGTTTTCAAAATCAAAATAACTGCTTCTTACTCTTTTTTCAATCAAAACTTTCCATTTCAACTCGATAAAGCGATTCACAATTAAGGCGTGCACTTTTAAGGTTAAACTCCGGTGACGGTTAACTTCATGTGCTAACTTGGCTGGGCTAAGGTACTCAGCTATTTGGTCAAAACCAGTCTACATGTTGCTGTGAAGGCGTCATATACATGATGAACATTTAAATCAGGGGAATCTGAACATAGCAGATTATCCTACCGCACACGGGTGGGACTCATCCGATTTGTTGAAGGCCGTAAGAGAAAAGCCTGAATTCCTGGAGGTGGAATAATATTCTGCCTCTTGACCACCTTTGAACTCTAGGCTGCAGCCCGGACTCCTGACAAAAATGCCAGCTTGCCAGCCAGTCGTGCAGATTTGGGGTTTGCCAGGCACCTCAAGGATGTGAGCCAGTTCCTTACAAAAAATCTCTCTCCCCTTCTCTTTCTTCCTGTCCCCCTCCTCTTCATCCCCTCTTCCTTCTTTCTTCCCTCCCTCTCTTTATTGGTTCTGTTTCCCTGACTAAATACAACTCCTTAAATAATAAATTTCTTTTAATAAAAGGACGTTTTGGTCCAAATGAACTTCTGAAACATAAAAGAATATTTTGAACAAGAACTTTTCCTACTCTTGGTCATCCAAAGCATCCACGGATTCCTTTAAAAAACAAACAGAAGCAGGAACTTGAATATTTCTTTTGAGGAAATGGGGTCTTAGGAGCTTCAGTTTTACCAGAATAATTAAAATCAGAGGTGGGATCATTTAAGTAGCCACTTTATATATTAGTCATCTCATACTCAAAAATTAATTGCTTTGTGATGTAATCCTTGATTTTTGGTTCAAGCTGTCTTAAGGAACAAACCATAACAAAAATTTTAAAGTTAAACATTATTAACTTCCAGGAAAAAATTTTTGCCATGAAGAATAAACCCATTGAATTTTCCATCATCTATTTAAAAAAATTTTAATTTATTGACTTTAGGAGGGGGAGGAGACAGAGAGAGAAGCATCATTTGTTGTTCCACTTATTTATGCCTCATTGGTTGCTTCTTGTATGTGCCCTGACTGGAGATCAAACCAGCAACCTTTGTGTATTGGGACAACGCTCTAATCAAGTGAGCTACATGGCCAAGGCCATCATTTTTTTAAACAAGAATGTTTTCCCCTGCTCCTTCTACTGAAAACTAGCATAAAGATCTCCAATATTTTCCAATTGAGGTGGAATCATTAAACACTTATTGCAGCATTACATAAACTTGCAAATTAAAAAGAATAGGTGGGTGTAAGTGACACTAATAACTTTGGTGTAACACCTTAAGTCAAAAATTTTAATTAAATGAATTCTCCTTTGAATATGTTCTGAAACAAGGTAAGAGAATAAGTAAATATTTTTAAAAAATAATTATTTTGTTCCTTTTCTTTATCTTACTGAAGAAAATCTATAGTTAAAACAATTAGCTGCCTCTCTGCATTCTATAAACTGGGCAATTAAAAAGAATTAAAGGTAGTTATGATATTATATATCAGCCTGTAATCATTTGAGGAAATGAATAATATAACCTATTTTCTCTTTATTTTTATTTATTTATTTAAAAAAATTTTTTTTAAAAATATATCTTTATTGATTTCAGAGAGAGGAAGGAAGGGGGGGGGAGAGAGAGAGATAGAAACATCAATGATGAGAGAGTCATTGATCGGCTGCAGCCAGCAACCCAGGCATGTGCCCTGACTGGGAATCGAACCCTGATCGCCTGGATCCTAGGTCGACGCTCAACTGCTGAGCCACGCCCGGCCGGGATATTTTTATTTATTTTTAGAGAGTGAGGAAGGGAGAGGGAGCTCGCATGCATGAGAGAAACATTGATGTGACAGGGACACACTGACTGGCTGCCTCCTGCACGCCCCACACCAGGGATCAAGCCCACAACCCGGGCATGTGCTCTTACCAGGAATTGAACTGGCAACCTTTTGGTGCGAGGGACTACATTCAACCAACTGAGCCACACTGACCAGGGCAATATAATCTATTTTCATTGAAGTATTTTTAAAACCACATAAGTAATTAATGTTAATATAGCATCTTGGCATACATCTTTATTCTTAAAGGACTCTCATAGTATAAACTATTACTTGTTTCAAAGTAAATGCAAGATGGGGGAAGTAGGTTTGCAGTTGTGAGTACACAAAACACAGAGTTCATTCTTGTATTATTCTCTATTAATTATTGTATTATTTTTGATAGAACAGCTGTAAACCTGCTTTTGCCCTACCCTGTACAGGTCTCTCTAACCAATGTCAAAACTATCAGGTATCGCTTAGTTTGAACTGCTTCTACTAGAAACATCCCTAAGAAAAATACTAACACTTACGTGCTGATGTGAAGGTCCCAAATCTCCACTCTGCTCTCATTTGCAGCTGCAAATATATAGGATGATTTTGGAGACCAGGCAACATCATAAACGACAGAAGTAGTTGGATAAAAACTCAAAAATGGCTTGGGATTCTCCTGTTGCCATATAATGACACCCCAGTCTGCAGAACAGCTTAAGAATACATCATGACAGAATGGATTCCATGCTATCTTATATACTGGACCCTTAAATTAAAAAAACAAATGAAAACACATAGGTAAATAGTATTTAATATCTGATTCTTTAAACTTCACCAATAAAATAAAAATGTTAAGATTTCTTAAAAAAAAAAAAAAAAAAAAA